TACTTTTATTTTTGGCCGCGCCATGCAGCACCAGGGATCGAACCCCTGCCCCCTGCAGTGGAAGCGTGGAGTCTTAACCACTGAACTGCCAGGGAAGCCCCCCCACCTTTTTTTAAGTAAAAAGTAAAAAAAAAATTTCAAGCTTTTTTTAGGTATAATTGACGTATAACATTGTGTAAGCTTAAGGTGATGATTTGATACATGGATGTATTATGGAACGATTACCACGATAAGGCTAGTTAACACATCCATCAACTCACATAATTAACACTTTTTGTGTATGTGTCATGAGAACATTTAAGATTTACTTGCTTAGCAACTTCCAACTATGTAATACAGTACTGTTAAATATAGTCACTGTGCTTTACATTAGATCCTCAGAATGTATTCATCTTAAAATTGGAAGTTGGTACCCTTTGGCCAACATCTCCCCATTTCCCCAGCTAGCCACCACCATTCTACTCTCTGTTTCTATGAGTTTGGCTTTTTTAGATTCCACATGTAAGTGAGATCATATAGTATTTGTCTTTCTCTGTTTGACTTATTTCATTTAGCATAATGCCCTCAGGGTCCATCCATGTTATCGCAAGAGGCAGAATTTCCTTCTTTTTTGTGGCCTAATAATATTCCATTGTATATATACCACATTTTTTATCCATTCATCCTTCCATGGACGCTTGGGTTGTTTCCATGTCTTGCCTATTGCGAATAATGCTGCAGTGAACATGAGGGTGCAGATAGCTCTTCAAGATCCTGGTTTCATTTATTTTGGATATATACCCAGAAGTGGAGTTGCTGGATCATATAGTATTACTATTTTTGATTTTCTGAGGAACCTCCATACTGTTTTCCATAGTGGCTGTACCAATATACATTTCCACTAACAGTGCACAAGGGTTCCCTTTTCTCCACATCCTTGCCAACATTTGCTATCTCTTGTCTTTTTAATAATAGCCATTCTAACAGGTATGAGGTATATCTCATTGTGGTTTTGATTTGCATTTCTCTGATTAGTGATGTTGAGCAACTTTCACGTACCTGTTGGCCATTTGTATGTCTTCTTTGGAAAAATGTCTATTCAGTTCCTCTGCCTATTTTTTAACTGGATTATTTGGGTTTTTTGCTATTGAGTTATATGAGTTTTTAATATATTTTGGATATCGATCCTTATCAGATATACAATTTGCAAATATTCTCTCCCCTTTTGTAGGTTGCCTTTTCATTATGTTGATTTTTTCTTCTGCTGTGTAGAAGCTTTGTAGTTTGATGTAGTTCCGCTTGTTGATTTTTGCTTTTGTTGCTTGTAATTTGGTGTCATATCCCAAAAAATCGTTGCCAAGACTAGTGTTAAGGTCTTGTGTTTTCTTCAAGGAGTTTTATGGTTTCAGGTCTCACATTTAAGTCTTTAATCCATTTTGAGTGATTTTTGTGAATGGTGTAAGGTAGGGGTCTAATTTTATTCTTTTGCATGTGAATATCCAGTTTTCCCAACACTATTTATTGAGGAAACTCTCCTTTTCAATTGTATGTTCTTTGCTCCTTTGTCATAAATTAATTGTCCATATATATGTGGGTTTATTTCTGGGCTCTCAGTTCTGGTCCATTGATCTGTGTGTTTTTCTGTCAATACCATGCTGGGTTTTTTTTTTGTTTTTTTTTTGTGGTACGTGGGCCTCTCACTGTTGTGGCCTCTCCCGTTGCGGAGCACAGGCTCTGGACGCGCAGGCTCCACGGCATGTGGGATCTTCCCGGACCGGGGCACGAACCCATGAACCCGTGTCCCCTGCATCGGCAGGCGGACTCTCAACCACTGTGCCACCAGGGAAGCCCCCCATGCTGCTTTGATTACTATAGCTTTGTAGTATAATTTTAAATCAGGGAATGTGATACCTCCAGCTTTGCTCTTTTTTCTCAAGATTGCTTTAGCTATTTGGGGTCTTTTGTGGTTCCATATAAATTTTAGGATTATTTTCTATTTCTGTGAAAAATGTTGTTGGGATTTTGATAGGGGTTGCATTGAATCTGTCAATCCCAATTTTATGTTTTTGATGTCACAATTTATATCTTTTATATTGTGTATCCATTAACAAATTATTATATCAATAGTTATATATAATATTTTTGTCCTTTAACCTTTATACTAGAGTTAAGTGATTAACACTCCACCACCACAGTATTAGAGTATCTGATTTTGACTATGTACTAGTGTGTTCTATATTTTCATGTGTTTCCATGTTACTAATTAGCATCTTTCATTTCAGCCTGAAGAGTTTCTTTCTGCATTTCTTGTAAGGCAGGTCTGGCAGTGATGAACTCCCTCAGCTTTTGTTTTCCTGGAAAAGTCTTTCCATTCCTGAAGGACAGCTTGGCTGGGTAAAGTTTTCTTGGCTGGCAATATTTTTTCTTTGAGCACATTGCATATATCATCGCATTCTCTTCTTGCCAGCAAGGTTTCTACTGAGAAGTCTGCTGATAGCTGTAAGGTGGTTTCCTCGTATGTGAGGAATTTTTTTCTTTTGTTGCTTTTAAAATTCTCTCTTTGTCTTTGATTTTAGACAGTTTTATTGTAATGTGTCTTGGAGAAGGTCTTTTTGGGTTGAAATTGTTTGGGGATCTGTGAGCTTCTTGAACTTGGATTTCCAAATCCCTCCCCATATTTTGGAAGTTCTAAGCCATTATTTCTTTAAATAAGTTTTCTGTCCCTTTGTCCCTCTCTTCTTCTGAGACTCCAATAATGCATAGACTGTTTCTTTGAATGATATCCTACAGGCTTTACATACATAGGCTTACTTCGTTCTATTTCATTGTTTTTTCTATGTCCTCTTCTGAATGGGTAATTTCAAATGACTTGTCTTCTACACAGATTCTTTCTTCTGCTTGGTCACGTCTGATGTTGATGCTTTCTATTGCATAGTTCATTTCATTCATTGTATTTTTCTGAGCCACAGTTTTTGTGTGTGTGTGTGTTTAAGATTTCCATCTCTCTGTTAAACTCATTTTGTTTGTGTATAGGTTTCTTGATTTTGTTGAATTGTCTTTCTGTCTTTTCTTATAGCCCACTGAGCTTCCTTAAAACAATTTTGAATTCTTTATTGGGCAAATCATAGATTTCCATTTCTTTGGGGTCAGTTACTGTGGAAAACTATTGTATTCTTTTGGTGGTATCTTGTTTCCTTGATTTTTCATGTTCTTCAAAGTCTTATGTCGCTGTCTTTGCATTTGAAGAAGGCGTAACTTCCTCCAGTCTTTACTCTTCAATGTGTCCTATATAATTGGATTTTTGCACCAATCGTGTACTGGAACTTCTCTGCTGGACTCCTGGACTTCCACAAAGGCACTCTTGTCCGTGGGTGATTGTGAAAATTGGTGTTCTTTGGGAGGGGGAAGGCGGTAGAAAACTCTTATTCTGCCATTTTGATGATGTTACTCTCCCACTTTAGGGATCATTATTGCTAATTCAGGAGATGAATACATTTTTCAGTTGTAGATAATGGTATACTTTTGGGGTGCAGTGGAATTTTGGAAATGAGCAGTTGTTAAAGAATTAAGTCTGTGGTCTAATAGGAGGCTTCAGGCTAGGTAAAACCATTTCTAATTTAAAAGATGGAATGTAAATGCATTTCTAGCATGACTTTTTTTTTTTTTTTGCGGTACGCAGGCCTCTCACTGTTGTGGCCTCTCCCCGTGGGGGGCACACGTGGCATGTGGGACCTTCCCGGACCGGGGCACGAACCCGTGAACCCGTGTCCCCTGCATCATCAGGCGGACTCTCAACCACTGCGCCACCAGGGAAGCCCCTGGCATGACTTTTAAACTGGCAAAAGAATAGTTCCCAACAAGGTCCAGGCCCGCTCTGAGCAATGAATGGCACCATAGTTGGATCATGAAAATAGTCTCCAATGTGACTTGGAGATGGTCAATGTGTTCTATTTGTTTAAAAAAGAAAAAGTCCTGTAACCTTGTAGGCTGATGGCCAGTTGACTTCTTCCTAGTTGAAATGAAAACTCTTTTGACACTGAAGGAAAAATGACCATCTTTACTTATTTATTCATTCTTCAACTGTTTCCTGAGGACCTACTGTGTGCTGGGCTCCATGGATTCCACAGAGAGGGAGCAGACCTGGAGCTTCCTTATGTCTTTCTGTTCTAGAATTTCACATAAGTGGAATCACACCATATATACTCTGCTGGCTTATTTTACTTGTCCTGGTGTTTTTGCAGTTATCCATGGTGTTGCATGTAACTCATTCCTTTTTAGGCTCTGTGGTATCCCTTTGTATGGCTGTATCACAGTTTGCTTACCCATCAACTTTTAAAATTTATTTTTATTTTTTAGTCTTTTAACAACTTTTATTTGTGACATACAGCAGCATTAATCATCTTTATCATGTTGTACATTACATCCCTAGTACTTACTTATCATTTTAAATTAATTAATTAATTTTGGCTGTGCTGGGTCTTAGTTGTGGCGCACAGGATCTTCATTGCGGCATGCAGGATCTTTAGTTGTGGCACGCAGGCTTCTTAGTTGAGGCATGTGGACTTCTTAGTTGTGGCATGCATGCAGTATCTACTTCCCCGAACAGGGATTGAACCCGGGTTCCCTGCATTGGTTGTATGGAGTCTTACCCACTGGACCACCAGGGAAGTCCCCCCATCAACTTGTTGATGGACGTTTGGGTTGTTTCTGGTTTGGGGATTATGAATAAGTCTTCGGTGATCATTCACGGACAAGTCTTTTTGTGCCCATTGTGCTCATTTCTCTTGGGTATGTACCTGGGAGTGGAGTTGCTGGTCAGAGAGTAGGTGTGTGTTTAACTTTATTGGAAACTTCTAAACAGTTCCCCAAGGTGGCTGTGCCACTTGTCTCTCACCAGCAGTTCCTGAGGGTTCCTGAGTTCCTGCTTCTCTGTGTTTCTGTGGGAGCTGTCCTCACAGTGTCCCTTGCCCTTCCCCTGTTGGACCCCGACATTCAAATTTTCCTTCTTTCTCTCTCTCCAGGTGCTCAGGACAGAGCCAAGGGAAATGCCGACTTGGTGAGTCTTCATGTGATTTGGGGCCAGTTGTGTTGGCTTTGGGTTCTTCTGCTCTCCACTTCCCCGATCCTTCCTGCAGCTGTGTCAGGAGCCCAGGGAACTCAGCCCAGCTGGAGAGAGGGTCCCAGTCCCAGGCCCCCTACAGCACCCTGGCCCTGGTACAGCTCTTCCTGCAGCAGATTGTCTAACCCTGCTCTTTCCTCGTCTGTGAAGTTTAGATCTAACGAGGGGTGGGCATCAGAATCGGCTGTAGCAGCCACCCCAGACCAAGTCACTCTCTGTCTTAGTCACAGCATTTATCGTGTGACTCCTGTGTGTCAGCCCTGGGCTTCGTGCTAGGATACCTGGGAACAGACCACTCGAGTTTCGAGCCCTCATGGAGCCATCAGCCTAGCAGAGGCTAGTCACACAAAGAAATATATAAGTATAAATACTGTTAAGTACCATAAACAAAAAGAACAGGCTGCTGTGAGAGAGAATTACTAGGGAAACGTTGAGCCTCTGGAGGAAGTGGCCTCAGACTCTCCGAGGGTGGCCCGGGCGAGAGTCTGCTGGCAGATCTGACCACACGATTCTCAGGTGCTCCCCTGGACTGGGCGACCTCTAGGTCCTTTGGGGATGAATGTCTAAGGGAGTTGGATTTCTAAACTAGCAGCTCCTATCCCTGAATACTGCGATGGGAGCTAATCTTCGGTCCCAAGTTTAGCTGTTCATCTGTCACACAGCTAGTGCGCACCCTAGTCTGCTTCGCAGTCTGGAATGCTGGGTGTAGATCCCACACCCCTCCTTCAGAGGGAGGCAGACTGCATGCTCTGTCCCATCTCTCTAGACTGTCTACCCCATGAGTGAAACCCAGGGGGTCGCCTTCTCTCCCGAGGAGTGCAACGAGACCCCGGTTTACATTGGTCCCCGTGTTTGGGCAGGCATATGTCCTGAATGCAGATCCCTGTGGACACTGCCTCATTATCAACAATGTGAACTTCTGCCGCGAGTCGGGGCTCGGGACCCGCACGGGCTCCAGTATTGACTGTGAGAGGATGCAGCAACGCTTCCACTTGCTGCATTTCGTGGTGGAGGTGAAGTGTAACCTGACTGCCAAGGTATGGTCCCTGTGCACAGAGAGAGATGGGGGACGGGCGGGGTAGTGTCCTGCGAGGGACCCTGGAAACAAATGACTCCCCAAGATGAGCCCTTCGGTCTGTAGGACCGTGAGAGGCAGTATGGTTCAGTGGTTACCAGTACAAGCTTCAGACTCAGAGACCCGGGTTGAAGACTGGCTCTCCCACTACCTGTGTGACTCTTAGCTTCTTTGTTTAGACAGCGAGAACCATGCTCACCTCCTAGGGTCATTGTAGGAGTAAATAAAGAGTGCCTAGCCCAGCATCCCTTCCCCAAGGATGGTGGCTATTGTGATTGCTGTGACTGTCATTACTTCACTATTGGCCCTGGGAGCAGGGGGCAGGCCCGGGACAAGGACCTGATCCGTCAGCAGTCTGGCTCACCTTCAGCCCTCTCTTGTAGCAAATGGTCCAGGCTTTGGTGGAGCTGGCGCAGCGGGACCACAGTGCTCTGGACTGCTGCGTGGTGGTCATCCTCTCTCATGGCTGTCAGGTAGGTGGCCTCACCTCCTTGGGCAGGTGCCTGGGAAGGCTGCCCTGAGAGGCTGTGCAGAGCCCCGTCCTTTCCTGTGTCCAAGACACCCTGGCCTGTCCACCTCCTGTTGTTTTCTCGGAAGCCATTTGCCCTCTGAGGGGTTGATGCTCCTCCTGGGTGGCACGGTGTCCCTCGGAGAAGCTGTCTGGGAGAGGCAGGAAAAGACAAGCTGGATTTTGTTCAGAGCTGGGCTCAGCTCATAAGAGCTCCCAGTTCCTGCCTCGATCTTGCTTGGTGTTGTTCCGGGCCGTTTGCTCCTGGCTGGGAGTCGGGACACTGGGACCCACTCTGGGCTTGGCCACTAATGTGCTGGGTCATTGTGGCCATGCCCCTCCCCCTTCCTGGGCCTCAGTTTCCCCATCTTTTGAGTTGAGGGGTTGGACAGAACAGAGGTAACAACCCCTATGGGTTGCACAGTGTTTTCAGAACTGGCAACTTTAGCACAAATATCAGGATTTCTGGCTTCTCTTGAAAAGCCACAAAGGTCTGACCTTATCAGGCCAGCATCCTCATGGAGCAAAGCTCTGGCCTTTGGCAGGGCAGGGGCTGCCCATTTGGTTCTTTCATTCACAGTGTGGTTCCTAGACCGGCAGCCTGGGCATCACCTGGCAGCTCTCGAGAATGCGGACTGTCATTCAGAGCCTGCACCTTAACGAGATCCCGTGCACATAAAGTTTGAGATGAATTCGTCTAGAATAGCAGTTCTCAACGTTTCACTGCAAGAGAGGTGCCAGCAGGACCAGATTGATGGTCCCACTACAAGGGATTCTGATTTAGGAAGTCTGGGTGGGGCCCAGGAATTTGTATGTCTTACAAGTTCCCAGGTGATGTTGATGCTGCTGCTTCAGGGACCACACTTTGAGAGCAGCCGATCTGGAGGTAGCTGCCCAGTGTCCTGGAGTTAGTCTGTCTGGTGCTTATAGGCATGTGAGTTTCAGACCCCTGGAGTAGAGGTGGACAAGGGGCTGCCCGGAACCGACCTGCTGTAACTCAGCCTTGTGCCCCTGGGTGGGACCTTCTAAATGCTTGGCCCCTACAAAGCCTCTGAACAGGCTGTTGGATTCCTACCCTGACTTCTTGGGTTTGTCACCAGGATTCATGGTTTTCTAGGCTAGCCACCTCCAGTTCCCGGGTGCTGTTTATGGCATGGATGGCGATCCCGTGTCTGTCGAGAGGATTGTGAGCCTCTTCAATGGAACTGGCTGCCCCAGCTTGGGAGGGAAGCCCAAGCTCTTCTTCATCCAGGCCTGTGGCGGAGGTAGGCCGGTCCTCAGCCCTCCTGCCCCTGTGAATCTAGTGGGGAAGCAGCCACCGCCTCTCTCCTTGTCCATCGCGCCTCTCGATGTCCCAGGGGTTGATCCAGGCAGCCGGGGGCGTCCCAAACATGGTCACTACTCTCCGAATGTGGCACCTCTATCTAGCTGGAGAAGCTTCAGCTCTGTCCAGCCTTTAGAGGTTTGTGTCTTCCGTCTCACAGTGCCACAGCATCAGGGCGTCATTCAGCTGTGGCCACTTCAACCCCAGAGACTTGGCAAAAACAAACAATGCAGAGGAGAGAGAAAACCTCCTTCATTTTCCTTGTCATCATTCCCCTGACCTCCATCAACCAGACTCGCTTCCCCCTTTTGCAGAGAAAGGGAGGCCACTGCTGAATTAACTACTGGAATTCCCAAAGGCTTAGGTTCTGGGGATTCAGTAATTTTTAAGGATTATTTAGATTGTTTGTAGTTGTGCTCTATGTCCTGACTTTAAACCTGAGCCCTACTCCAACGTTACCTGGTTTTCTTATAAAATAAAAAAAGAGGGAAGAGAGAACATCATTATGTGTCCTGGATTATGGGACATGATGGCATCTCCAGGGGCAGGGATGTCTGAAAGGCATATCGCTTCCTTGTCCCTTGGCCTGATCTGCCAGAGAAGCGGGCATTGTTATACCGTAGAGCTGTTGGCTTGCATGCCAAGTGTGCACACCAGTGACCTGTAACATGGGCACCTGAGGCATATTCTTCTGCACACGGTGATTTGTCCCATACTATTCCACATTGGCGAGGGAGTCATGGGAGAGATTGTCTAGGAGCGCAGGCTCTGGTCATATGATTCATCCAGTAAGTTTATTGACCACCTGCTGTATACACCAGGCTGTAGAGATGCAGAGGTGGGGTCTCTGTCCCCTGGAGTATATAATTTGACTGGAACTGTGTTAAGTCACTATCATGACCCAGGCCTATAACTTGGCCATGAGTGATGGAGAACACTGGGTTAAATCCTGGGTTAGCTACTCCCTGCACAGCCACGGGCCAGTTAATCTCTAGAAGTCTTGGCAAATAGGGATTGTAACAGAGCCTAGCTCTTAGTGTTACTATCTCTCACATACTAGTCAGTGTGGCTCTTTTTTTAAAAAAAATAAATTTATTATTTATTTGTTTATTTATTTTTGGCTGCGTTGGGTCTTTGTTGCTGTGTGTGGGCTTTCTCTAGTTGCGGCGAGAGGGGGCTACTCTTCGTTGCGGTGCGCAGGCTTCTCATTGCTGTGGCTTCTCCTGTGGAGTGCGGGCTCTAGGCACGCAGGTTTCAGTAGTTGTGGCACACGGGCTCAGTAGTTGTGGCTCACGGGCTGTAGAGCTCAGGCGCAGTAGTTGGGGTGCACGGGCTTTAGTTGCTCCGCGGCATGTGGGATCTTCCTGGACCAGGGCACGGACCTGTATCCCCTGCATTGGCAGGTGGATTCTCAACCACTGGACCACGAGGGAAGCCCTAGTGTGTCTCTTAACACACTTAACACATTGCCTGGTTCATTTTCCTAACTGGAAACCTGGCCTCCCTCCTCCTGCTGACCCCAGAGGACTCAGTGTCACATAAGAGCCCCACCCCTGTCACCAGTGCAGTTATCTCAGAGTGATGATGACAGGTAGATGGAAAGGCTGCTGTTCTTGGGTTGAAATCCTTTGTAACTTGTCTTTCTTCTTATGATCCGGAATGTGTGGTCAAGTGATGTTCTTACTCAGAAGTGCGTGGTCCCTCTTTCTCCTGTGAATCAAAGGAAAAACAGACTGAAGGGTGAGCTGGGGTGCCAGCTTTCTGGGGAAGATAGCCGGTCTTCTGGGCCAGGGCCCACCCCACTGTCCATTCTCAGTAGTGAAGGAGGATCTTTGTGGTGTTACTCTTTGGACTCCTTGGTGGGGCCACTGGGCCCTTGATCTGGGCCCGACCTCTTCGCCTGCCCCGCCTGGCATGCTGTGCCCATCCCAGCACTGCTCAGCCTTCCCAGGACACCAGGGTCTGGCTTACTCCTCAGGCTTTCTACGTGCCATTCATCTGCCTTGTCTCCTGGCCACCTCTTAATCATCCATCCTTCTGGTTACAGCTTATTGTCACCGCTTCTAGGAAGTCTTCCCTGAACACCTCCTTCCTTGCAGAAAGTCAGGGTTCACGCCGGCTGTTGTGCTCCTACAGCCCCCGCTCTTCCCTTGTCTTAGCGCTTTCTCCTTGCATTCAGATGGCCTCGTCCCCTGGTCAGCTCTCTGAGGGCAGAGCCAATCACATCCGCCCTGCAGCTGGTCGCCAGCCTGGCACAAAGCCCACAGTATGCTTGCATCTTATGTGCATTCTAATTGTTTGAATTTGAAATATGGTTTGAAGTAATGTGGACTCCTGCCATTAAAAACAAAACCAAACAATTCACTGACAACAGCAGGATTCCAAAGCTGGAACGCAGTGATTAAGGTGCCACTTTTGGAGCGGTGGTCTCTGCTTAGCTCCCTGCTGCGGGATCTTGTGTTTAACGCTGTTGCCACATGGTGGCGCCACCAGCAGCTGAGGACAGAAATACCCAAATGTCAGTGACTGTTGTTTGGTGTCTGATGACTGGTGTCGTGTTGTTTACAGGTCTCTGAATGTCTGCCTTGGATTTTGGTGACTCTTGTGTTGCTATTTTAAGATTCACTGTTGTTACAATTTAAATCAATTAAAAAATCTTCTGAATGTCATCCTCCCCTTCATTAAGAGGTAGTGAGGGCACCGACACGGAAGAACGTGCCTCAAAGTCAGTAACTTTGGTGTGAAACTTCAGTGTTAGCATGATGAACTCAGCCAGAGCTGAGCGGCCTGAATTTTGGGGTGACCCCTCCAGAACTTTAGAGATCATGCTGAGAAGCTGGAAAGGAAGAATAATGTACGACAGTGGTTGTGGATTTTATGTGCTGAGGGAGCGGCTCCTCTTCCCACTGTGAATTCTTATGGCATGTTATTCTTCCTTGTAGGGGAGAATTTGAATCAATAAGGCTCCTTAAGAAGAAAGCAGTGGCTTAAATGCATAACCCATAGGCGAGGCCTTCCCAGCAGATTTGTAGGAGGATGACACGTGGTTGGAGACACAGCCAGCATCCCCTGTCTGACCCCTTCTTCCTCTGACCCCCCATCCTCCCCTCTCAGATCCCATCGTCCCATTTTCACAGGCAGCCCCCACCTGTCTCCTTAGGCCCTTCCTACGGCATCCCCCACTGAAGCGCTCCCTCCCCCGCTGCACCCTGCTTTCCCGGGCAGCCCCAGCGGCAGCCCCAGGTTCCCCTCTCAGGTCCCCTCCCCTGACCGACTTCCCCTAGGACAGATTCCAGAATCTCAACTAAGCAAACAGCCGGAAGCAGTGACCTGAGACAGCTATGCCAGAGTCCAGCTTTCACAGATCTAAGAGGCCCCCTTGGCAGGCTTGGGAAGCAGCAGGGTAGTTGAGAAGTGCAGAGTCCTGGTCCCCTGCGCATTAGGTGTGAGACCACAGACAAATTACCGAGTTTTCTGAGCTTTAGTTGTATGGGGTGAGAGGTCAATAGATTTTTCTTTTTTAAGGTTTTATTTATTTATTTATTTTTTGGCCACACTGCACGGCAAATGGGATCTTAGTTCCTCGACCAGGGATCGAACCCGTGCCCCCTGCAGTGGAAGCACGGAGTCTTAACCGCTGGACCGCCAGGGAAGTCCGGTCAGTAGATGTTGGGGTTATTATTATGGGGTTTCCAGAACCGTCTTTGTCCTGTCTCTGTCCCCTGTGGATGGGACCCCAGCTTCCCTGGGTAAACTGTGACCTCCCTCCCTCCTTGCTATTACCCACCGTGGATCTAGCCACACAAACCCTCCAGCTCTCCTGCCCAGAGACCTGCCCGACAGGTGCTGTTTCTCCCACCAGGATTGCTCTCCCTTCTCACATGGGAGCCTGGGTCACAACCGCCTGCTCCAGAAACCCTCCCCTGCGGAACCCCAGGCCCCTCGGCCCTCTGCCTGTCTTTGCTGAAGCTCTTTTCAGCTGCTTCCTTTCTGAAGTAACACTTTGTACTCTGCAGTGAGCTCTGCTTTGGAGGAACTCATCCCAGGACATGTCCTGCAGTGTCACTGCCCCAGTGACTCTGTGGCTGAGCTGTGTGTGGCCCGAGTCCTGCCCTGACTCCTAACCCTCTGTTTTCCAGGCCTGCCACTGCTCTGGGGCAGTTTGGGTTTTAAAACAGAAAAGACAGAAAATATGGCAACTTAAAAAAAGAAACATCCAGAATCCTACGAGCCCAACATGGCAGTCTCATTTTGCCTTTTACCTTTGGATCTTGGCCGAGGGGCACGGTCTGCATTTCTCATTGAACCTTATCCCTGAAGCATCACCCCATGTCTCCACAGTCTCCATTGTCACTGTTCAAATGGCTTATAATCTTGCATTGTAGTGATACGCACTCACTTACTAAACCATTCCCTAGCGTTGGCCATTTCGGTGGTATCCAATTTTTGGCTCACATGACCACCAATGTCTTTGTATTGAGGGCTTTTGGCTCCACTTGAATTATTTCCTTAGGAAATTACTGAGTCAGGGGTGTAAACATCTCCATGGATCCCATTACCTATGACTTAATGCCTTCTTTGGTTTCCATAAAAGGGTTTGAGGTAACTTAAGGAAGTGCAAGTGATGTAGAACAAAATACAGAGAAAAAGAAAATAAAGAGGAAATAGAAATGCAAGGAAAGAAGAGGAGGAAGTTTGGCATCTACAAGTGCATCCTGTGAGGTTCTGCGTGCTTGCTGGAGGTGGCCCGCAGATTGGCTCTGTGCTTTCCAGCCGCTGAGGCAAGATAGGGTGAGGTAGAATCGCTAATAAGATCCACCTTATTTGGTCTTCATAAGACAGAATTGCCAAGAATGGCAGTTTTTCTCCCCTGGGTTGTCTTAATAGGGGACACTGTAAGATAGTGGACAGTTGCCTCAACTGTATACCTACCAAAAAAGAAAAGAGATCAGTTTTATATCTTTTGTTTTTAAAAAATTTTATCTAGGGGCTTCCCTGGTGGCGCAGTGGTTGAGAGTCCGCCTGCCGATGCAGGGGACATGGGTTCGTGCCCCGGTCCGGGAGGATCCCACATGCCGCGGAGCGGCTGGGCCCGTGAGCCACGGCCGCTGAGCCTGCGCGTCCGGAGCCTGTGCTCCGCAACGGGAGAGGCCACAACAGTGAGAGGCCCGCGTACCGCAAAAAAAAAAAAAAAATTTTATCTATTTGGCCGCTCCGCACAGCATGCAGGATCTTAGTTCCCCAGCCAGGGATTGAACCCGTGTTCCCTGCATTGGGAGCACAGAGTCTTAACCACTGGAATGCCAGGGAAGTCCTTTTTAAAAATTAAAAAAAAAAAAATCCAAGTCTCAATGTAAATGGAGGGCAGAGTTTTTTCAGTTTGGGTGTTTAGCTCCCCAGACAGGAGCCCATCTTCTTCTCTTTTTGTTTTGGCTGCGCCGCTTGGCTTTGCAAGATCTTAGTTCCCCAACCAGGGATTGAACCTGGGCCCTCGCCAGTGGAAGTGCGGAGTCCTAACCACTGGTCCGCCAGGGAATTCCCCCATCTTCTTATTTTCTGTCTTCCTCAGTGCCCGTGTCGGTGCTCTGTACCCCAGGGGTACTCCGTGTGTATGTGTCTCTGCCGTCTGTGTCATAAACCATGATTTTAAAGAAGCCTTTATTGTAACCTGGGGAAAATCCTCATGATGCCCTGATAAGGGAATAAAGCATGATTAGTTGAACCTGCAAATAAGCAGGTTAAAAACAAAACACAAACGATTGGAAGGAGGTGCAGCAAACCATTAGCCATGGTTGTCTTTGGCTGCTGCCAACATGGCCAGGCTTTGTTTTGTTTTGAATCATAATGTTGAGATTTAATGTGTGTTTGGGGAAGAAGCCACAAATATGGTTAAAAAAAAAGTCAACAAGGACAAAATGATCAAAGTGCATAATAATTGGTCGGTAAACTCATGAGATCAAAAGTAGTTCATGCTGGGCTTCCCTGGTGGTGCAGTGGTTAAGAATCCGCCTGCCAGTGCAGGGGACACGGGTTCGAGCCCTGGTCTGGGACGACCCCACATGCTGCGTAGCAACTAAGCCTGTGTGCCACAACTACTGAAGCCCGCGTGCCTAGAGCCCGTGCTCTGCAACAAGAGAAGCCACTGCAGTGAGAAGCCTGTGCAGCGCAACGAAGAGTAGCCCCTGCTGGGGCTTCCCTGGTGGCGCAGTGGTTGAGAGTCTGCCTGCTGATGCAGGGGACACAGGTTTGTGCCTCGGTCCGGGAGGATCCCACATGCCGCGGAGCGGCTGGGCCCGTGAGCCATGGCCGCTGAGCCTGCGCGTCCGGAGCCTGTGCTCCGCAACGGGAGAGGCCACAACAGTGAGAGGCCTGCGTACCGCAAAAAAAAAAAAAAAAAAAAAAAGAGTAGCCCCCGCTCGCCGCAACTAGAGAAAGCCCACACGCAGCAATGAAGACCCAACGCAACCAAAAAAAAGAAAAAAATTATTAAAAAAAAAAAAGTAGTTCATGCTCATTAAAAAACAAACAAAATCAAAGTCCTCAGAGGTGTATAAAGGTGAAAAGTCAAAGTCCTGGGCCCATCCCTACTCCCATTCTTGTTCTTCAGAAGAGCCACTGTTAACAATTGGTGTTTCCTTCCAGACTTTTCTCTTGCTCTCCTGTCCATTTATCCATCATATCTATGCCAAACAGGTCATACGTTATATACTGTTCTGTGACCTTTTGGGGGGTAATTTTTTCTAATTTAAAAACTTTGTGATAAAATACACATAAAATTTACCACGGTAAGCAGTTTTAAGTGTATAGCTCTGGAGTGGTATTAAGTACATTCACGTTGTTGTGCAGCCATCACCACCATCCATGTCCAAAACTCTTTTCATTTTGCACAACTGAAACTCTGTACCCATTAAGCACTAATCCCCATTCCCCGTTCCTCCAGCCCCTAGTAACCAGTATTCTGTTTTCTGTTTCTATGAATTGGGTTACTTGAGGCACCGCATGTAAGCAGAATCATGCAGTATTTGTCTTTCTGTGACCAGCTTATTTCACTCAACATAATGTCCTCAGGGTTCATCCATGTTGTAACATGTGTCAGAATTTCCTTCCTTTATAAGGCTGTATAACGTGACTTTTTCTTTTAATCTATATGCTGTTTTAATTAATTAATTAATTTATGGCTGCGTTGGGTTTTTGTTGCTGCGCGCGGGCTTTCTCTAGTTGCGGCGAGCAGGGGCTACTCTTCGTTATGGTGCACGGTCTTCTCATTGTGGTGGCTTCTCTTGTTGCGGAGCATGGGCTCTAGGCATGTGGGCTTCAGTAGTTGTGGCCCGTGGCCTCAGTAGTTGTGGCGCATGGGCTCAGTTGCTCCACAGCATGTGGGATCTTCCCAGACCAGGGATTGAACCCATGTCCCCTGTATTGGCAGGTGGATTCCCAACCACTGCACCACTAGGGAAGTCCCAGTGTGACTTTTTTTTTTTTTGCAGTAGAACCTCTACTACTTTTTTTTTTTAATAATTTTTTTTT